TAGCCCTTAGAGACGTTATCTTTCATACATTTCGCGTACCTGTCACGTAACCTATCGTCTCCCATCAATCTTCGCTTCAAACTCTGTAGCCTATTACTAGCTATCTCATAATTAGTCCCTTTCGTAGTGGGGTCCTGTTTCCATTGTATCGTAACTACAAAGTGGCCATCGACGAAGTGTGTACCTCTCTCCACGATCTCAAGGGCTACCTGGTCTTCCACAGACACTGACTCGTCACTAGAATAGACGTCAGCAAACTCTACATCATACAGTTTACGTATCTGATCCTCCAAAACTTGCACGCAACTAATATGGTCAACAACTCTTTCTATATTCCGGGTATGATGAAGGTCCAAATACAGTCCATCCGAGTAGTGTTTTTACCGCATACGGCGCCTTCCTCCGCCTAGCCGCTGCTCTAACACCCAATGTGCTTCTGGCACGTCACAACCGATGAGCATTAAAACGTCTTCAGAGTCTAAACTTTCAACCGGTACATCTTTTAAGTGCGGCCACTTATTTAGATTCTTCATTGCTGACATCGTGGGCTTATGTCTCGGTAGGCTAGATACGATCATCGCCCCTTCGATCACGATATGTTCCAACTGATCTAAAGAATGCACTTCGAAAGTGGCGTTCGTACTTCCTGCCGTTTTGTCACCACCTACAGTCTGTACCACAACTATCTCACAGTCTTCCGGCAACCCAAGCGCTTTTGCACAAGTTGACGTTATCAATGTAGAATCAGAGCCGTTATCCAAAAGAGCATATCCTATTATCTCGGATTTTTCCAATCTCACACGTACTGGGATTAGTCCTAAACATACCTGACTGCTTAGTGACCTAGTAAGTCCGCAACGATGCTGGGAATCATCCAACCTTTTGATGGTCGAGTCCTCATGCAACAAAACATGATGTTTTTTCTCACACTTGTCGATACTACAACGCATTGTCATTTTACAGTCACTAGCCTTATGTCCTTGCTTCAGACAGATAAAACACATCCCCTTTTTTCTAACTTGATTCCATCTGTCTTGAACAGTAAGCCTTAAAAACTGAGGTCATTTAGTAACCAAGTGATCACCAGTACAAATGCTACAATTATGTCTTATGGTCGGTATATCTGCAGGTTTCGATTGAAGGTGGCAGCTCATCTTCACATCTCGTCCTATTTTTAGTCGATTAACCAGCCGACCGAAATTGTTACCAGCTATTCTAGCTCGAGCTAATACAAACTCAGTAAGTTCGGTGAAAGTCGGCTCTCTATCTTCTTCAATCCATCTTACGGATAGTTCCGCCCATTGAACTTGCATAGACCGGGGTAAATTCCTAACTATTCGCTCCAAGGTTACTAGGGAATTAAGTTCTGCTGTACAATTTAACTGTTCCAAGGTTAGAGCAACGTTCTGCATTTTAATTGCCAAATTCGTCAATTGCTCTGGATCATTGTAGTCCGCATTCCCAGTTCTAAACAAGTCATCCAGAGTTTCACGAGCTATTACATGCGATTGTCCAAAGAGCTGCTTTAAAATAGTCTTAGCTCTTTTATATCCCACGTGGGGTTCCATTATAAGGCTCCTTCAATCGCATTTCTCGCCTTTCCCTTACAGTAATGAATTAAATATAATAAACGCAGATTATCATCCCTTACTCTGGGTTCTATAAACGTTTCGAACTGTCTTACGAATCTATTATTATTATTATTATTATAAAGTACTCCCGGTGTTTACCGTCGAAGAATAGGAGTTCAACTTTTGGTAATTCTAAGCCTACTACCGGTGTCCTAGACATCAAATCCTTCCCCAGTACCTCAAAGTTTTCGCCCAAACCTTTTCCTTATTGCCTTCTAAGGGTGACTTACAATAATAAGTATCAAACATAACATCATCCTTATTAGAGAGTGAACCCATTAAACATGAAGCATCATAAACGACTTGCCTTGCATTCCGGGATTCTTCATGGGCTTCAACCCTCTTCGTGTTTGTTTTCTTTCGAGAGCTCATAATTAATTGAAATTCAACGGAAAATAAATAACAAATAAAAAATATAAAGTTTCCACCGGTAAATCTTCTTCGTCAATGAAAATCCAAAAAGATCAGAAGATCGTTTTACAAAATACAGTTTGATCAAGGCTAAAGATAAGTAATCCAAAGTTCTTCTTCCAGGAAGTTTGATATTGTAAACGATGAAAATTCCAAATGTTTCTTTGTTCTTCTTAATAGTTGGACTATAGATGAATTTTCTACCCTAGCAGTTCACTCCGGCTCCAATAGGTGCAGGTTGAAACGCGCTGTCCCGAATTCGATATCAAAAACACAATAATTCTAGGAGAAAGCGGTCCAAATAATAATGCAACTTCTAATTCACAATTACCACTATGGGTATCCGTTTCCAAAAGAATAAGTGCTACCAGTTCTTACTGCTACGGTATCAAATCCAAATATGGCTGTAGCCATATTAAATATCAAATTTAAAAACATATATACAGTTCAGAAGGTTTTTTCTTCAGGAACCTTGAAAAGACGGTAGATTCTTGTTGGTCTTAACGGCCTGGGTGCGTGACCGCCCAGTCCGAGGGACAACTACTTGAAGCCGGTCACGCAAGGCCTTTTTATGAAAGGTTTTTTGAGTATTTGCTTCGCTCTTTTAAAGCCCTTACTGGACAGCACCTACCACCGAAGACGGAAATCCATGAGGTACGGTAGGGAACATCACTGGTCGAGTGAGAGCGTATGGCTGTCCGTCAGGGATGTCCACTCTCTCCATTCTTGTTTAACTTTGTCGTAGACATGCTTTTAGGGTTAACATTATGCTCGTCAGATATTTCAGGAGTAGATCTTCTACCAGCAGGAGGATCGCTTACTGACTTAGAATATGCCGATGACATAATCCCATTCGATGAAGACACTGACAAAATGCAGTGTCTCTTGACTACACTAAGCAACAATGCAAGCATATTCGGGATGCGGTTTTCCCCCTCGAAATGCAAAATTTTGCTTCCTGTTTGGGCCGCATCGGCACCTGAACTAGTGATAGGGAGCGAAGTTGTTGAGCGTGTAGACCGCTTCACTTCTCTGGAGAGTTTCACCAGTGCTGATGGCCTGGTGACTGGCGAAATCTCGGTACGGATACAGAAGGCTCGATTGGCTTTTGCCAACCTGCGTCACTTATGGCGAGGGCGAGATATCCGTTTACTAACCAAAGGATAAGTGTACAGAGCAGTAGTTCGCTCTGTCCTATCATATTTCTGTGAAACAGGGCCTGTCAAAGGACAAGATATTCGTAGATTACTAGTATTCGATCACATATGTGTTAGAGGCATCGCTCGTATATCGTGAACTTTATTAGGTCGGCTCCTCTTCCATACGGCTCCCCATCTCCAGTGAACAGTTTCGCATACTCTGCGCATAACTCGTTAACGTTAGATTTCTTGGTCGAGACGTCCGTTGCCATCCTTATTTCAGCCACTTCGCTACTTTCATGCATTGGCAATGAACCGTACTTTGTGACCATTTTCCCGTTTCTCAAGTCAATTATCGCTTTTACCTCTCTTAGGAAATCTGCTTCTAAAATCGGTCTCGATAAGCTTGTGGTTACCACGAACGGAAAATTTATCTCAGCTCCACTCATTTTTACAATACTGTTAGATACCCCCAACACCTCTAGCATATGCCCTCCTATGGTGTGGACAGCTAATGTACATGGTTTAATTGTCTTACATTGCTCTTTGCTTATTAACGATATAGCTGCCCCTGTATCAATCAAACACACTAACTCCTGTTCATTTATGTACACTCTGGCATAAATTGCCCCTCTATCTACTAGTGCAAGGACCTCCTAATTCCTAGGGTGGAAAGAAAACACGTTTAAAATATCTTCGTCGTCGTCTTCTTGGACAGTTTATCTTCCAATGTCCTGCCTCTCCACAAGCGTAACATTTATCGTTCCTTTTATGATTTACTCGTAATGCTGCTATCTCACGCTCTAACTCCTCAATCTTCTTCTCGAAAGTATTTATCTCCTGCTTTTCGCACCCGACCGGAGCTACTGTTTGTGTCATCAGCTGATGATTTGTTAGTCAAAATTAGCTCAGTGGTAGTAGTCGAGGCAGATGACTGAAGTACATGTATGCCCACAATTCGCAGTGTCTTCTTCTGTGCTTCAGAATGAATTTACACCAACTGAGGAACGGGCAGTGGAAAGCACGTCAAAGCTAAACTAGTTGAAATGTCATGTCACGGACACTCAGCCTCACATAACGTTAAAAACTTAAATTGCGAATGGAATTTCGCCCCCTAATGTCTCCTCGGCGCGTGATCACACTGTAATTAATACATCAGTACCACCTACATATTGGATTGTAGGTCAACTTTATGCAAAGAAAACTTGGCACAGTTACCTTACGCTTGTTCTTAACAATCTTTAAGGCGGACACACGACCACACCCTGAAGTTTACAATGTCGTCTCATTCCTCGATAAGAAACAAATCTTCTGGACTGAGTGCAGATACGAGCTAATAAACGATAGGAATAAAAAACAAACCCTACTAAGATAGGCTCCAAAATGTGTGCTTATTCCCGCCGAGTAATAGGAAAGTCAGAGGTGATCTGATAACAACATGCAAATATTAGGTTTAACAAATCATCCGAAAATGAGCATCTTGAGAAAACACTATCAACACACCCCTTGTAGTAACCCTCGAAAAATTGCTCAATAAAGAGAGAACAACTAGGTTTGCGCACATTTTTTACCATCAAGGGTTGTCAAAGCTTGGAATGATCTACCAACCACGGTTACCACAGTGCATAGCTTCCAGAAGAGACTTGATAAACATGTGCTCGCATTTGGATTATCATCTCCCTCTTGAAACAGCTGTGTCTGATGCATGTCTCAAAACTTGCTAGTCGTTATTATTGCCACTTCATCAGATCACCGACTTGTTCCATGTCGTTTATTATCTCGTTCAAAAATATTGCATATTGGATTTGTTTCGTTATTCTGTTTTGAAGGTCGTTAGAGATTGTTAGATTTTTCAGTTGTCGACTATTCTAGCAATCTCGGGTTTCTTATTATTATTCGCTGAGTTAGTTGATCTCAGTATTTTTTCGAATTGAACTTATGGTTATTCAGAACTTATTGCAGTGCGTAGTTCTTATGTTGATAAACATTAAGAGAATTATAATTGCTCAGAAAATACAAAGTATCTTTTATTTATGTTCATGAGGTTTTCATGAGTGTTTCCATTTCCAAAAATACTGAGTCGACCAAATACCAGTATATTTCCATTCAGTGTGTAGATTCGCTGTTTTTTGTATTTAAGATTTTTATTGGTAGTCCCAAATCTACCTATTCCGGGCTTATTTCAGGAGATTCTTGGAGAATTTTGGGTGGAATCTATACCGGTAAATTTTTCACTTTTTCTTATTTTTCCATAGTTCACCCGAAGTGTCGATGAGACTGTTGCAACGTTTACCTATAGTTTTTAAATTTTGTTTCAAATTTAGGAGTTTGGGTTTGGTTTTAGAATATTCAGATCAATGTTTCCTAGTTTTGCATGACCTGGTAACTTTTACTGTGTAGCTTTTCGTGTTTGTTTGGTATATCCTGTGTCGTCATCTAGTTTCTTTCTTTTAATTCCTGTGTTTTTCAGGGTCAGAACCGCTGATTTCTGGTAGTTTTCCATAGTGTCCGTTATTTCCGTTCAAAAAGATTGGGTTTTCAGTTAGTTTCTTGCAACAACCCAACGTATTTATAGTTTATAGAAATGGATCTTAAATCTGGATATCTTAAAGCTCATCTGTTATCATCATCTGAATATTTAGAAGGGAAGAACATAGTGCGAAATAAACTTTTGGATGGACGTTCAGATATAACCTCATCAGCTTCCAATATACTTTCAAAATACTCACAAAATAACAAACTATTAGATTCGTCTATCAGTCTTTCATGTACAAGATCAGTCTTAAGTTGTGATCGCAAAGAAACAACCAGATCTGTTGATAGGCATCATGAGGAGAATCAAACAAGCGATCCAAGTTCACTCAAATCAACACCTATCGAGTGGCTGAAAGATGCTATGATAAAAATTCCGGACACCAGTTTCCAAAATATACTGGAATGTACGGTTGATGGTGCTACGAAAAGCAATCATATTCGTGCTTCATTTGATGAATTACAAACATACGAACGCAGCGATACCTACAAACAGCTAAAGGTATGTGAATGCATCGTCTGTAATATATTAAAAATTGAAGCTAGACTTACTTAGCTGCATATCCTCCTCTGTAGTGGATGGCAGTCCATCCAAAGAAAAAAAAATTGTTTTAGGACAATTAGTTAACGCTTGTATTGATAAAGATCCAGAGTTTATACTCAAAGTAATTTGTGCATTCCTAAACATATTAGATTTTAGGCCGCTTTGTATTGCCGTAGAGAGTTGAATATACGTACAACAACAAATATGTTGGTGGCTTTTGCTAGCCTTAATGAGCAGTCTCGATCTTTTATCAAGAAGTATTTTTCTTCGTGTATTCGTACACCATCAGACTGGATAGAGGTTGCTGAATACTATGCAGTAAGTTTGAAGAATGTCATAACTTCTTTAAAGGTAATGAGTGGCAATTCAAGTTTGAAGGGTATGTCGCAAGTCTTACGAAGTAGTATGACATCAAAGTTTCTTGAATTCGATCAATACCAACTTGGTAAGCTGAATTTCTACTTTTTGAATTCAATTTAATAGCTAAACATTGCAAACACAGAGCAAGAGCTAGTCGTTCGATTAAATCGAAGGTAATTCGTTTTTTAGTTTGTGATTTTCCTTAGACTCTGGCAAAAAACAAGAATGGCGGAGTAGCCAGTATAAATATTGATACTGTTTTGTACAGACTGGCGAACTCACCGCGTATATACTTTACAATGAAAGAACTCATTCGTAGGCTGCATATATCAAGGCCCAAGTTTAACGTTATGTGCATTCTGGGAAAACCTTACCCATCAGATTATACTGATTTTATTCGTATGGGACTAGAAGGAGAATGGGATTTATCCAAAGCAGGAACGCGTATGAAGTTTCCTGTTCCTACTACATGGGAGACAGAATTGTCAATCAATGGTAACAATTCACAATCTTGGTCGAAGCTTATAAGTAAGTCTCCTAGCATATTAAAATTGTCAGTAATTTGCAGAATAACTGAATAAAGAACCCAAAAATAGTTCTGATTTTTATTAGTAGGACAAATAGTTTAATATTGCTGGATCCAGAAGAAATCTCGGCTTTTCAACCAAAAAACACATCGATTGATGTAATACAGGGTTATGGTTACCCAGTTCGACTTTTAATGAGAACGGACTGTTGATAATAAGCATTCTATGAAATCCTAAATAATCATGCTACTATATGTTTTATTTTCGACGCATTTTGTTACTGAATCATTTACATCTGAACATTGGTAGTAAATATAATGTAAACGATATTTCAAGTACAGTTTAATGAAATAAAATTCGAGGTATGCTTTTTGGTATGTGTGCTGTAGATACTATTTGAATAACAATTGACTACTTGATGGGAATTAGTTATGAATAGATTTCATCTTTTATGTATGTACCGATTTAAACTACTTTACTATCAATATACAGACGGTGCACAGATATAATGTAATTTTCTTAGGTTTAGTTTGAATTATGTTTTCTGGTTAGCGTTTTTTTTAGCAAGTTAGATTTCGACGGAATGGGGTCGCCAACCCTATGTCCAACCCTCCTCCTTTACCCGGGCTTGGGACCGGCAGTAGCCCCCGAAGGTTCTACTGGCGGAGTTTCTTAGGTTTAGTACCTTAGATTAAATAGATTACTCTTAACAGTAATAATAAGCTTTCGTCTTGTATAAAATCTATATATAATTCTACATTGAATTACATAATATTTAATAATATAACTTTTATTAACTATCATAGCTTTAAATAAAGTCCCACATATGGCAATGTTAAGAAATTTACGTAATATTTTTCGATCTGGTATTCAAAAGGACATACATGAGATAGTCTTAAAGAGGCTTACAAATCCTGTAAGTGTTACTTTACTCTTTTTTTTTGTATTTTTAAAACAGATTATTTCTTAATAATTGTTTCCTGCTAATCATATGACATGATTCAACTATTATCCGGTCAAAAGCGTCTGTTCAACAAAATAATTACGGTGATACTTAGCCATGTCATTTAGGGTCTGTAACCATCGATTACTAACATCTCGCTGGCTTCAACTAGGTAGTCTTTAACTTCATGGATTTCTGCCTTGGCAAAGCGTAGCTCGACGAGGCAGTCAGTGGTTAGGCATACGTAACACATATCTCAAACACCTCAACTGATAAAATTTCACTATTTTATCTTTTGATCTGAAATCCCTACCTAGGAACCTTTTGCTAACGATAGCCTGGATTGCTCGGTTATCCCAGGATACACGAGCAATGCTTCGGAGAAAACTATGCTCAAAAACCAGCAACCTACGATTATCTTCAACTCTGACTGTCCTCTGTTTTTGCTACCTGTAAAAACCTATCGCTCCATTGTCATTTATTGTACTATCTCAGCACTCAAATAATAGTGCTTATAAGCTTTCCAATATATTTTGTGTAAAATTCATTTGAATTTTTATGTGAGGAATTAAAAAGATATTCTGTAAATATATCAAGTGCTAACTAAGTTAGTTTAGATTCTGTCAGTCAGTCAGTTAATTGTAAATAAAGGATTTAGTAAAATTGTCTACATTGATACATTACCGAGTTTAGAGAGAGAAGTAGATGGAATAAATTAACAATATGAATAATGGAGAATGAAATATATTTAGTAATATCATTTAAAAATAACAATGTAAACATGACAGGTAGGTAGGTTAAAAAAGGAAGAAGAAGATTTAAGAGTGTAGAACAATCCTGAATGAACTAAGCTATGTATTTTCTGCAATTAAATCCATTGTTTTGTATATCATTCTCATCAAAAAACCAAATCAGGTTGAATGATATTAAATAATGAATAATTAAAGTTCTTATAATTGTCAATAAATTCTTTGAATTCATTCATTATTTGAATTGCTTACAGCGTATTATTATAGAAGGAAAACAATTTCCGTTTCGTTATCTTACGGCTTTTAATACTATTGATAAGGTGAAACGCGATTTAACTTATCAAGTATTTGTATCTCGTACTACAGGTAAGTGATGGCTAATGTTTTTAAGTATGTCAAGCAAGTTTAAGTAATTTTTTTTGAGCTTTTTGATTGATTAGAGCCATTATATAAGTTTAAAAATGCTGAATTCTTAGTGATTCAAGGTTGATTTAGTCGTTAAATTAATCGGATTACAATTAGTTGATCACTGGTACGACTCTTGTACCACCTACTTTAATTAATATAGTATCCCAATAGTATTATTACCAGCTATTACAAATAAAATATAGCTCAAAACCTAATGTATGAAACTTGAACTTAGGAAATATGTTACTTTGTTTGTTATTTTGTACCTGTCTTTCATGTGCTCATTATGGTATATAAATGCTCATTTGATTGTCTTTGTATGCATGTTTAATGCTTTAATTGAATTCAGTCAGTCAATCAACAGCAATGTAGAACTTCGTAAGTCAGTTGGAGTTGCTATGCCTTTTAGCACAGACATGCAATTGTCATTTCAAATCCCATAGTAGTAGAGGTAGTAGAAGTATTAGCAGTAATCGAAGAAATTAGGGTTCGAACATATTATTTAAGAAGTAGAATCTAGTGAAATAAACTTAAAAAGAAAAAGGTAAGGGTCGTGGGGAAATCCGAAGGTTAGGATTTGAGAGATCACAAAGAATGAATGCACCTGCGCCATTGCAGGCGGTTTCTAGCCATGTCATTTAGGGTCTCTAACCGTCGATTACTAACATCTCGCTGGCTCCAACCAGGTAGTCGACACCTACTCACTCACATGACCAAATCCATTCGTCATTAACTTCATGGATTTGTGCCATGTTTTAACTTGGCCGCCCCTAGCTTTCTTTCAACCTACTCCTACATCGCAAAATATAGCTCCACTAGGCAGTCGGTCGTTAGGCATACGTAACACATGTCCCAACCACTTCAATTGATAAAGTTTCACTACTTCATCTATTGATCTGCCATCCTTACCTGGTACCCGTTTCCTAACGACAGCATTGCCTACTCGGTTATCCCTGGATACACGAGCAATGCTTCGGAGAAAACTATGGTCGAAAACCAGCAACCTACGATTATCTTCAACTCTGATCGATCGTGTTTCACAGCCATAAAGTAGGACGGGGCGAACTACTTCGCAGTAGACTCGTCCTTTTGGTTAGCAGACATATCTCGCCTACACTATAAGTGAAGTAAGTTGGCAAAAGCCAATCGAGCCTTCTATATCCATGCTGTGATTTCGTCAGTTGGTATAGTATTATTCTGATATTTCGAAAGCGCTACTGAATGATATCATGTCCTATTTTGTAAGCACCGACCGTAGCTGCTACCTTGACGTGGTTGTCGGGCTTGCCTATCGTGATCACCAAACC